CCCACTCAGTTCGGCGACCACCCGGACCCAGCGCTCCCTCAGGAGAAGCTCCACCAGCCCAGCTTTGGTGGCCCGCGTCCACACCGCCATGGCCTGCCCCGCTCCCGCCGCCGCAGTCGCCGCAGCTACCCTCATTCCAGTCAGGCAGCCTCGGCGCTTCCCCCTTCCCGCCCGAGGGGGCGGGCCCGGCCCCTCCCCCTGTGGCGATTCATTATTCATAAGAGGCCACGCCCACCTCCCGGAGGGGCGGGGAGACGAGCCGCTTCCGGAAGGTTGAGGAGTTGCCCGCAGTCCAGTCCCCAGCAGCTCACTGGACGTGGGCAGCGTGAACCATGTGGTGCTGCGACTCAGGTCCTCCTTCCTTTCGCCTCCGACGGAACCCCCACCCACACCCCCAACTCCTGACCTTTACACCGTGCAATTCACCGGAGCTGCCTGGGCACGGAAAGCAAAGTCAGCTTCGAGAGGCACTTTGCAAGCCCGCAAGACTGGGTTGCACGTTAATTCTTGCATTGATTGGTTCATTCCTTACTTACTGAGGGCTCCGCGGGTGTGCTCCTTCTGAGGCCTGGGGCTGAGCTGAAGAAAACGTACCACAGCTGAGAGCTAGCGGTCTAGTGGGGGAGGAAAACGAAGACCCAACCAACCTGGTGTGATACAATGTGGTTAAATGATAGAAAACGCCCTGAGAGCAGAGTAGAAGAAACATTCCGTTAGGCCTGGGGTCAGCTTCAGAAAGGTGACAATGGAAAGTGCATAGGTGGAGCAGAGATAACTGCGTAGGCAAAGATCCAGAAACAGGATTCCAAGCATTTGTCACCCTGCTTTGTAATCACCTGTCTGTCACCGTGCTTTGTAATCACCTGTGTCTGCTTCAGCCCTGCAGCCACTATTGGTAGGCCTCAAAGATACAGTATTTGCAGAATGATGGTTACTTAGGAAGATGCCAAAATTCCAACGTGAACAGAGCATAAGATCAGTGGAGGCAGCAAGATATGAGTGTGAAAAGACTCATGTAATCAAATGTCAAAGAGTCTGAACTTGGGTTTGCAGATCTGACTTTCTTATCCTGGGGGCTGTGGCCTTTTGTTGGGGCAAGTGTAGGTGGGCACCTCCAGAAATTGTACGCCTGCTGCAGAGCCTACAGCAGCTTTTATCCAAAGACGTGGGTGATGCAATCCATCCGCTTCTCCCAGCTTCATGGGATGGAAGAGCTGAAGAAGGTGAGCCCCAGAAAGCCTGGCCCAAAGTCCACAGTGAGGAAGTAGAGAAATCAGCCTTCTGGACCAGTGTTTAAACACACATACACACGTGCGCGCGCACACACACACACACACACACACACACACAAACTACATGCCTCAGACCTCGAAAATGAGGGTCCAGAAATCACACTGCTGAGAAAGAAAGATCTCAGCAAAAACATGCGGTCAAGGCGCCCTCTTTCAGCAGTAAAAGCAAAATCCCCATGTTTTCATTGGGGGGAGGAGGTTGCAAGAGGGAGTGTACACCAATTCCTGTAAAAGGGGCCATATACCTGCTTGCTCATGAAGTACATGTTGAAGCTCGTAATCCATGCCCATGCACCACTCTATGAATTCACATTTGTGTGTTGGCAAAACTTCCAAAGAGCCTCCTATACCAGGAGTTAAAACAATAAAAATAGAGACTGGAAAGCACCCAGAGCCCAAACGAATTCAAAATGAGAAAACTATCTTACAAAAAAATCATTACAACAGAATCTGCTTTACGATTAATAGAACAGGATTTTCCAAGCTGCAAATGTCAGCAGAAGCTCAACCCTCCAGCCCTCTCCTAAATCAACTGCAGTGAGGCCAGCTCGCTGTTCCAGCAGGTCCTGATGTGCCCAACTGCACCTGCAGTCCCAGACATTTCTGGCTTTGCTCCAGCTGAGGCGTGAGCCCCCAGAGGTCTGAGTTATATGAAATTTCTGCTTATTAGAGAGCACTTGGCAGCTGATTCCTTAGCATATGAGCACTATTTTGAACACTTTTGCTAATGTAATCACCCAGAGGTTGGGCACTTAAGGACACCTTTATTACCAAAAAGGAAGTGCTGGAAATTCTTTCCCAAAGTATCAAGACCTTTTGGTCCATGGAGCTGGAGGAAGTCACAGATCTTTGAACTAAATAGTAAATGAGGGCACTTACATAAGATAGTAAGTTATATAACAAAATATTTAACCCTGGGAGGAGACAGGGTAATAAAGACTAATATTTGGATTACTTGGGTTTTTAAAAAATATATATATATCCATAAAAAATTCCCAAACTCTGAAGCTATTTTTACAAGGTATTCCATCAGAGGCCCTGGCTACGTAGCTCATGTGGTTAGAGCGTCATCCCGATATGCCGAGGTTGAGGGTTTGATCCCCAGTCAGGGCACATACAAGAATCAACCAATGAATGCATAAATAAGTGGAACAACAAATCATTTCCTTCCCAGCCTCCCCTCTCCCCCTTCCTAAAAATAATAATAATAATAAAGCCCTGGCCAGTGTGGCTCAGTGGTTAGAGTATCAGCCTGCCCACCAAAGGGTCTCAGGTTTGATTCCCAGTGAAGGGCACATACCTGGGTTGCAGGTTCGATCCCTGGCCCCGGCTGGGGTGCCTGCAGGAGGCAACCAGTAGATGCGAGAGACCTCACATCCATGTTTCTCCCTCCTTTCCTCCCTCCCTCCCTCCCTCCCTAAAAATCAATGGGAAAAAATATCCTCATGTGAGGATTAACAAAAAACAAAGAACCAATACATGGTATTCCATGAGAACCTAAGTGAATTTTCAACAATCACATCACTACTTTCAGATTAGCCAAACCCATCCAGTCAGTGTCTCCCAATGATGCCTTCCAAATTCCTGCCTGAGTCCATCCTTCCAAACACTTCCTGCCCCTTTCAACCACTACCTACCTCCCAAGTTGGATGTTGGATTGATTATAAGCTTATTTCTCCCTTTGGCCTCCTTAGTAGGAACTGAGCAGCTCTTGCTTTGTTCCTCTGGCATCAGGCCGCCTTTGTGGTAGTGGCCTTCAGGCTTGCTAAGGGCTGTGAGATTCCCACCTACCAAGATCCAAGTTTTCCCTGTCTACACAATTCATTGGGATTTTTTCCTTTGAACAATTTTATTTTATGCTTGGCTGGTTTGCCCAAATAGATTTAAAAATACAGGAGAGGGCAGGGACCACCCATGGACTTCTTTTTATTCTCTACTATTCCAAAAATATTGCTTTGCAGAAAAGGAACTCATTAAACTGTGATTGATTGACATTCAGTGCCTCCTGGGCTGCAGTCATTTCAAATAATCCCTCTGAAGGTTATTGGTTCCTTGCAGAGTGAAAATTACCATCTAGGAAATCTCAAGTAGTCAGTGGAAACCTACTTACTGTGGATAATGAAATCTGAAATAAAAAGAGTACACATCTGTATCCACAGCTTCTTAGGGACTGTGAGACAAGCTTAGATAATTTTTGAACAGCCACATTATTTTATCTACCTCTAAAAAAAGGAAATGGCTGAGATAATTCCTAATAACCTCTCATTTCTGTCACCTATCAATATGTAATCTCCTCTGCTCAAGCTGTTACCTTTCTCAGAACAAGGCAGGGATCTTTGCTACTTTAAAAAGAGGAGGTTGGAAGGGCTCTCAGTTCCCTAATTTCCTACAACTCTGTGACTCGGGCTCTGATTCTGTGCCCTCTCAAAACCCAATGGTCTGTTTTTCCTTCTTCATAGTAGATGCATAATATAGCATGGTAATTAAGAGCACAAGGTTCAAATCACAGGTGGCCACTTACTAGCTATATGACAATGGTCAAGGGGCTGAGGTCATGGGTTTCAGTTTCTTCTTTGGAAGAATCCAGATACCTTTTGCCTCTGAGGGTGGTTGTGGGGGTTGACTGGGATGACGTACGCCAAGCGCTTAGGAGCCCTGTACCTGCCACACTGTGAGAGTCCCATAAAAAGTACCACTGCTGTTATTATTACCTGTTGACCTTCAGCTGCAGCAACAATAAAACCTTTGGTAGAAACTCTGGAGCTGAGAGTCTACACTTTATCTAGGAATGAGTTTGCCATGATACCATTTGATTCCAGGCTTAAAGGGCAAATGGCCAAATTAATTTCGGTGACAAACAGATCTTGTATAAAGCTACACTTCGGCTGAAAGGGAGAACATATTGCCAAGAGTCCGTCAAAGGAAAGAATTAGTGGATCTGGGGCTTGTTCCAAGGTTTGAGTGTTGTGTAATTTCATAAGGAAGGAGGGCCCCAGGCAAAATTGCAGCCCTTAGCAAGCCTGAAGGTCACTACCACAAAGGCAGCCTGATGCCAGAGGAACAAAAGCAAGAGCTGCTCAATTGCTACTAAGGAGGCCAAAGGGAGAAATAAGCTTATAAGATAACCAACCCAACATCCAACTCTGAAAAATTATCCACTCATAACTTCCCGTCAGAAGACAGATCAATTGTCCTTTTCAATGGGCAGTACTCCTTTGCCTTCCAGGAGAAATATCCTAAAATGTATTTTTCTCTCCAGCACAAACATGAAGTGAAATAGGCAAAGGTGCATATATCCTTTAGCTGATGCAAGCACATTTTAAAATCTATCCCGCCAAGATAAATCACTATCCGTCTGAAACCCACAAAAATGGATTAACTATCTCATGCTTTATGGCTATGAAAACCCACATCTGCTAACCACATTACTAATGAGAAGCAGCTGGTGACAGTTTTGTAGCTCTGTGACTTTCTTTTTAGGAAAATATTAGCAAGGACATACTAAGCAGAAGGTTAGTTTCGTTGAATCTACTTAGTTATGGAAAATTACCAGTGTTTTTTATTGACAATCATGAAAATAACATAATTTGCCATGAAATTCAAATAAGGTTCCAAAATAAAAATTCCCTTTCCCCCAATATCAGTTTTGACAGAATTTCCAGTATCTCATAAGACTCACAGTCTTGGAGTCAGCTTCAACTCTCATTTTCCGTATACTGTTGAATATCAAATCATGTTTATTGATGCATATGGTATTTCTAGGCCTTTGTCCCACAGCTTTAACTCCTTCCAGAGTGG